GAGATGCACGTTAAGGTCCCTTCCAAACCCAAACCATGATTCTGCGATGTCCAATAGTGTTGTCTAGCCAAAGGAAAACCCAAATCTCACACTGCTCTGTCAGTGCAAATGTGCCCACATTAAAGCTGTTGGTTCGGAATGTTTGGTAGCATGAAGCAGAGCCTGTGTCATGGGGGAGTAGTGCTGCCTTTGGAAACTGAGGTGTGTTTGTAAAAAAACAACCAGGCAGGAATTGAAGAACTGCTTAGTTGTGGTCACCATGTAATTGAAATGTTGGGTTATCAGTTAAGATGATTATTGCCATTCCTTGAATGAATGCTGGGAAGGCTCAGGCTTGCAGAGAAGCTGCACTTCGAATTCTTTGTGTTTTTATTATCATAAACTGTCTGTTGTTAAAGTTATCCCAAAGTTTACTGAAAAGGAAGAGCAGCTGCAATTCAGGTATACACTCAGAAGAAAAATATCTCATGTTATTTGAAACCTAAAACCCCACAGAAATAAAATGTATAAAATACAATTATCCTGTCTTGGAATAACTGTGTGTATTTTGTTGGGTTTCTATATCTCTTCATTTATTTCAGTTGGGCTTCATCTTCATGTCTTGATTCCATCTTAACATAGTGCACTCCTGTTGGTAAAGGGGGTGATGTTTATACTGGGCTTACCTAGAACTAACAGAGGCACAGGTTTTGAAAGAGACACAAGGCCTGGAAGAGAGTTTCCTGGACTTAGTCCCTGTCCTCTGGTGGCACAGTGGGGTGGATGTGGTACAGCTGTTGCTGAGTCAGCATCTGATGGAAGCAGGAGAGAGAACTGCAAATAGCTGCTTTCTCTGGTTTCTAAAACAGAAATGATGGCATGGGATGGGAATTTTGCTGGAGTGGCCCTTGGGGAGTGTGGAGCAAAGGAATTACCTGCCTGGCAGCAGGTACTCCCAGCCACTGCCTTTCCCAGGAATGTCACAGCTCAGGCCGGCCCCACCTGTGTGTAAACCTGAGGGATTTGTGTTGCATTGGGCTTGCTTGCCATTCCTTTATGGAAACAACTGGTCTGGAGTATTTGTGACAGTTTGGGGTTGATTCCCCATGGAAGAGAGTCGTGTGGATCTCTGGGCAAGCAGGCTGGGTGTTGAGAGCAGCAGGATGGGGGTTGTTTCATCAATAGGGAGGTGTTTGTCCCTAAAACACACCTGGGGGGATGAAAATCAGGCCATTTTCTCTTGGTACATCCACTGGCATCTTCTGCCTGAGCCAGTACGGTTCTTCCAATAAATCTGCTGCTTTG